ATAAAATTCTATGGGCATAACTATAATAGTGTGATAAGAAGAAAAGTACTATGGCTACCAAGTTCCTACTGTACAATAAACTCCCAATATTTCCTGCTAATTGCAAAGTTTCCCTCTTACTTAGAAATACACATAAGCCTCCTCTTGCTCAGCTATTTGTTGATTGTTTCATTGGGCAAGAAAATGAAACAGTTAAAACATGCCCTTAATGTGGGATTTCATACATAGGCCATTATTCCAAAAAGTCTCTGGTAATTTTCCTTGAAAGACCAATCTGCCCCTCAGTGACTGAAACAGAAACAAACGTCAGTCAAGATCCTGTAGTAAGCTGTGTGCATTAATCCTGGTCATAAACTTGTATAAAATATAACTCAGTATGCATGCTCCTATGAAATACATGATTAATTGTGTGGAAAGCCTTTACCCTGAAATTTGAACACTGCTGTGTGATGCAGGAAAGACCATTTTATCTCACTGTGGGCTAATGATTTATTTAGAGCTTAGTGAAACATCTGTTTGAGGACAGCAGATGACCGCAGCTCGTACAGCAATGGGATAGTAGCATTTCTAAGGAGGTGGAAGCAGTTTATATTCCAAAGAAGAATTGAAACTGTTTCAAGAATAAATAAATGGCACCATTTTCAGGTATACCTTTTTCCTAATGGAGCCCCATGGGAGAACTTGGGCTTTTGAAAAGGAGGAGAAAACAAAAGAAGTGGGGAGTTTGGGAGGAAGAACTATTTGTGCCCAAACTGGGATATTCTGCTTGCTGGTAGCAAAATTGAAGATCTTATAATATAGGCAAATAAGTTACATGATTGAAAAACATCATTGCAGCTTTACAGCTCAGTACCACGATGTGAGAGAAGTCTCTGGGATATGGTCCAGAAATCCTAGCATTATTTTATTTTATTTTTAATACCCTTGGTTTACCTGCCCTTGCAATACACTGTGTATGTTTGGGATTGCTAATGAATAGTTTATTCTTTACCCAAGCCTTTTATGTAAGGTCTCTTCAGAGTAAGTGTAGCACTCACAATTCTGTTCTACTGGATGAGATTAAAAAAAAAAGACCAAGGATGGTTGGATAACTTTTATAGAGATCTGAGGAAATTATTGATGTTATTCAGCAGACACTCCTTTGTGAAGCTGAATGTACAGCTGTGGTGGGTTCACCCTGGCTAGACACCAAGTGTCCACCAAGGCTGCTCTATAACTCCCCTCCTCAGCTGGGCAGGGGAGAGAAAATGTAACGCAAAGCTCAGGGGTCGAGATAAAGACAGGCAGATCACTCAGCAATTATCACCAAGGGCAAAACAGGCTTGACATGAAGAAATTAATTTATTGCTAATCAAAATCACAGTAGGGTAATAAGAATTGAAACCAAATCTTAAAACACCTTCCTCCCATCCTTCCCTTCTTCCTGGGCTCAACTTCACTCCTGATTTCTCCACCTCCTGCCCCTGAGTGGCTCAGGCGTACAGGGAATGGGGGTTGTGGCCAGTTCATCTCACCTTGTCTCTGCTACTCCTCCTTCCTCAGGGGGAAGACTCCTCACACTCTTCCCCTGCCCCAGTATGGGGTCCCTCCCACAGGAGACAGGCCTCCACAAACTGCTCCAGCATGGGTACCTTCCATGGGGTGCAGTTCTTCTGGAACAGACCGCTCCAGTGTGGGTCCACCACAGGGTCACAAGTCCTGCCAGAAACCTTCTCCACTGGGTCATAGCCTCCTTCACACATTTACCTGTTCTGATGCAGGGTCCTCCTTGGGCTGCAGGTGACTATCTGATCCAGCGTTACCCCCCGGGGGCTGCAGGGGGGCAGCCTGCCTCACCAGGGGCTGCAGGGCAATCTCTGATCCTGCACCTGGAACGCCTCCTCCCCCTTCTTCTTCACTGACATTGTTGTCTGCAGAGTTGTTTCTCTTGCATATTCTCACTCCTCTCCCTGGCTGCTGTTGTGCAGGGAATTTCCCTCCCCCTCCCTTCTTAACTATGTTCTCACAGAGGTGCTACCACCATGACTGATGGGCTCAACCTTGGCCAGCTGTGGGTCCATCTTGGAGTCAGCTGGACTTGTCTGTATTGGACACGGGAAAAGCTTCTAGCAGCTTCTCAGAGAGGTCATCCCTGTAGTCCTCCTGCTACCAAAGCCTTGCCACAGGTATGGATGTTCATAAAAATGTCCATATATGTGACATTTGTGGTGACAAGAAATACACTTAGTATAAGGCAAGCCAATGGGGAGAACAACAAAATGTTTTCATGTAGGATTTGCAAAAAACTAGAAAAGGTTTTGTTGGGGGGGAGGTTGTTTGTTTGTTTTCAACTTCAGTTTGATACCAGAAATGAGAAATAGTGCTTTAGCCAAACTATTATTTTTCTAAACTCTTCCTTTACAGCTAATCCATAAGTGTGAGTTCCAGAAGGTACATTTGTGATTTATTACTTCTTGGCACAGACATTAGATTGTCACGCAAGCCTCCCAGAGACGGCAGCTGATCACTGCTCTAAGGTTCATACCGCTTCTGGGTTGCATTTATTAAGGTCCAAAGGGAGTAAACACTCAACTGCAAGCTACTTGTGTAACACATACCTCTTCCTGACCACTTTGACAACCTGAATTGCAACTCTATCTTTATAGCCTACCAATATAATTGCATGCTTCATCTTTCACAGTGAAATGATAAATATCCTAGTTTTAATGTTCTAGCACTTTTGATCGTCCTGCTTATCAGTAGCTCATTCTAGTGCAGCTGAGAGAAGAAGAGAAAAAAACAACTTTAAACAGCAATGTTTGCGGTCCAGTCCTATAATATTAAATAAATCCTGTTTTGAAGATTATTTAATAGTCATCATCACTGGTAACACTAAAAATGAAAAAAAAAAGGTGTTCTGGGAAAGTCATGAATGAGTCATGATTAGAGAAGTTTATTAGTGTGGGATATTTGGGGGTTCTGTGTGCCTTATATTAAACTGATTTTATGTTTCTCTAATCATACAAAATATTTTTTGTTTGAATCCCGGGTGAATATCAAGTATTTGTATTACCAGGATATCGTATTAATATCTCTATGCAGTCTGAATCACTGATAAATTGTCAGACTGAATATTCAAAATATGTATTATAAAAGAACAAAGTGTGCCTACGTATTGGAATTTTACACACCTATTTTTCTTATGTCCATTTTCTCACACCTATGTCTCATCTCCCCCAGTTCACTGTTCCCGTGTAACTGTCTTCCTTTCACAGCATCATCTGCTATGTGCATGCAGTATATTTTCTTAGGAAAATATCTGAAAATATTTCTGCCGTTGCAAGCTGAGAATATGCCATCCACCCTCTGCCTCCTTCCTGCGTGCATTACATCCCAGTTTTCCCTTGATTGTCACAGACATCTCTGTTGTCACTACGAGCAATGCATTGATTTCTCCCTTTAGATCAATTATTGCAGCACTCCTACAATAAAAAGGGGAGGATATGAGTCTGTACATCCACTAGGAGCTGAAGCTTCAAGATTTATATGAATATAAGACAAAAGAAGGTATATTTCTGTAAAAGGGCAGAGCAGCAGGAGCTGCTGTAATGGTTAAAAAGAAGTAAGTTATGTGCTTCTCCCAGTGCTAGCTGCAAGAGGGAAGCCAATAAAAAGCTGAGCCCTGGCTCTGGAGGCAGAAGACATGCACCTGACACAGGAATTTCTGCCAGCAGCACAATTTGGTTTTCCTATTCAGTCAGGAAGTTCAAGCAGCTGCATTATGGTTACCTTGAGCACACACGCTCTAAGGTAGCAGCTACTGTTGGTTCTTTCTTTCAGGTTTGTCCAAGAAGGAAAAGTCAGTATTTGGGCCTCTGTTGCCTAATTTGTAGGTTTGCCATGACTTATGGTACATTTTCCGCTTTTAAGAAAAATGCTGAACCGCAGAGCAGTGCACATACTTTGAAAAATACCTGCATAATAAGGTTAGTACTCCCTAGTGAATCTTTTCTAAGTCTATACAGTGCAATATCCCTCTTGATTCTCATTTTTCCAGATTTGTAGTGGCTGGTTTTGTTTTGTTTGTCAAGAAACTATCCCGGCCAGTGTTTGCTTCAGCCACCAGCCCACTCTGCCCTGATAGATGTGAATGCAGACCTATTGAACTTTATAGATTCAACTGCATCGAAGGAGTTCTTATTATGCCAAGTTGTGTAAGACATGATTTTTATGTATAAAGTATTAAAAAAATATATAGTTCTATAATTCTTTCTTCTCTTCATTAATAATTTTATCTGGTTTTATCAAGGATTAGCAAAATATGGATCTGGAAAATATTGAGTGCTGTCTACTGTTTATCTTTGAAAAGATTCCTTCTCAGGAGAATACCTTAGAATGTCTGCACAGCCTATAAAACCTACATAAAATCATAAATTTTCTTTGGCAATCTTTTATTTTAACTGAAGGAAAGTAAAATAAAGATAATTTAAATAAAAAAGAAAAAAAGAAAATGTTGGTCTGATGGGGTTTAATGGAGAAAGCAGGCTATAAAGCTTGCTTTGGATAAGCCAAAATAGATTTCCTGACTGTTCCTAGACAGTTGTCTACTTGTGTTCCTTTTTGAGAAATTTTTGCCTTGTTCCAGATTGGATATTGCATATTCATAGGACTATTTTAAAAGTGGAGCCGATTTAAAAATTCTTACTTTGAAAAAACAGTCATAATTGGTTCCTTTCTCCCTCCTACTTACAAGCTTTTTTTTTTTTCTTTTTTTAACTCTTAGGTGGCTATGCTGCCAAGAGTATGCACATGAGTAAGATGACTTTGAAACAGTGCCTAATGCAGTTAGTTTTCTTATCAAAACAGCTCTTTAAGCACAGTACAGAACTAAAAGTTTGATTAAAAGCTTATTTTAAGTGCGTTAGGTCACTGGAAATAAATGTTTGCAATTTTTTGTATTGAAACAAAGGTAAATACATAAACAGCTAAGTTTAGCATCTTCCCTTCGTATTACACCACCACAGAAAGCAGACCTCACAGTATCAGAAGAAACAGGAAATAACTTCTGGTTTTCTTATTTCTTAGGTGGAAGAGAATCAGCAGAAAGAAATGTCTTCTGGTAGAAGATGATGTAGCTGTGCTGCCCTGTTGCTGGTAAGGACCAAGGAGCATAGAGACCGTGGCCATAGTAAATGTTTTCTGCTTTTTAAATTGGCTTAAAACTCGGGTTATCTAGGGGAGATACTGCACCAGAATTGTTCATCTTCACTCATCATTGGAAAAGATAAACCTTTTGCCTGGAGGATATCTGCCCAACCGGGTTGTTTAGTTTAAGGAAACCTGGAAAAGGCTTAGAGACAAGCTGTTCCAAGAAGCCCAACTAAAAAGCTCCCCTTGCTTCTTGGAGGGAAAGAAAATATTTCTATCATGAAACAATTTTAAGCTTGAAAGTTTTGGGTTCCAATTTTGCAGAAACATGGAAGTAGCTCAAATTTTATATTCATGTATAAACATTCTTATTTTGCTACAATTTTGTTCCTTCTATATATTTTTATATATTATATAAAATGACAATTGAGACTCGACTCCACAATTCAGTCTCACATGTGCAGAGTTGTGTCAACAGGATTTGGCCAATGGTTGGATATATCCCAGTGTATGATCTAGCTATTGATCTTTGCTTACTTTGGCCTGATAGAAGTGACAGCTCTGCTGATAGTATAGGTAAGTGCTGAAATCCATAGAGCCATATGGCTGTGGCCTTAAATAAGGATCACATTCCATAGGAATAATGCTTGCAATACTAACTTGATAGCTCATCCTTCATCCTGCAGATACTGGAGCATAATTTGCAGACAGTGTAAATAATTGCTCTGTAAGGTTTTATGGGGATGCAGGTTTTTTCTGCTTAAAGTAGCCTGCAGGATCAAGGCCATATACACAAAAAGCTATATTAATGTCAGGTCTTTTGGGCATCAGGCACTCGGTATTAAGAGATGCCAAAATTAAGGCTGGGGGGAGATATAGGAACAAGATTTCACAACTACATTTGTATATAAAAGGATATTGTGTACAGTTACGTAATAACATAGTACCGGGGGGAGGCTTAAGGCCGTGCATCTGCTGAAAGAAGTATCACTTTCCTCTGCGTATTCCCAAGGCTCTCCTGTTTCCATGTCTCCGAACACAGCAGTGTACAGTAAGCCTCTTTGTATGTCAAAAATATTTTATTTTATTTTTCTATCTTGGAAAATCTATTCCCTGCAGTGAGAATCTAGGTCTATATGGAATCAGGAATTGATCCTAAGTTTATCATATTCCAGGTAGTGCCTTAAGTACCAGGCTGTATAACATTCCTTGTTAACAGTCTCTTTGAGCAGTCTCCAGCCAGCGTTGGTCTGCCTGTCTGCGAGGAATATCCCCAGTAAGACATGCAGAGGAACACCACATTTGTGAATCTCATCTGAACCCTCACAGATGAAGAGGGTTCAAAATAGCCTGAACGGTGGGGCGCTATCAGTACCTGGTCAGCTGTGGTTAGATGGCATCTTGGAAGGGCACTGGCCTTCCTGAAAGCCTATGATGCTTGCGTGGTAGAATCAGATTCTGTGAGGCAGGAGTGGTGCCTAGGATCTGCTTGACATCTATTTAAGAATAATGTTGGTGGCAGGGCAAACTCTCTGTGCAGTCTGATACAGATCAAGTAGTAAAGTTTATTGAAAGCTCCTGACAGATGTGTCAGGTTGTATTCAAGGTGTGCTTCAATTCTCTTGGAAAATGTTAAAGTGTCTTGTCATGACATGCATCTATTTGTTTCCCTCTCTCTTTAGAAGTTTTGAATTATTCATGTTACTGCAGTCTGGATTTCCACTGATATTGCCTGGTAAGCAAATAATTCCCAAAAGGTAAACCAAAAGGGTGAATGAATATTGAAAGATTGGACCTATATAAATGTGAAATCTTCAGGAAGTGACTAACATAGGAAAAATCAAACCTAGTTCTTGACCTGAATCAAGACCTCTTTTTGCTGAAGCTGGTGGGGGACTGCTCCCATGTTCTCCATTGCTAAATTTGAGAAGAATTACCAGTGTGAGTGCAAATAATGGTTTTGGGGATCTTTAGTTAAAATATCACTATTCACCAGGGCATTAGAGTTCTATTAGTATTTATGATGGGGGGTTTGGTGTGTTGGATTTTGAAGTGCTCCGATTCAGTTGTCTGTTTCTCACCAGGAAGACAATACAGAGAAATCCAAACATCTTGATGTGGCCTCCTGGCACAAGGGCTTTGAGGAACTTCCTCAGGTGAGAGATGCTTTAAATTTCTGACCAGTTTTGTAACCAAATTGCCTTTTGATGGTGGTCAGTATAAGTGCTGCTTCTGCTGTGCCATCCAGCTTTTCTAATACTTTGCCAGTGGCTGACATTGTAGAGCTATTGCCTCCGCACATTATCTGTTCCTAGTGCTCTGCTGCTGGCATATGTTTTTCTTTTAAAAAAGGTGTTGATCTGCTGATAACATGCAAAGTCTGTCAGAACTGTAGGAACTACAGGCTATGGTAAGTCGGTTTAAAGTCAGGACTTCAAACTCTGTAGTCTCAAACAATTCACTCCTTCCCTTTTTAACTCCATAACTCATCATTATTTCTTTTCTGATGTGTTTTTTAATAAATGGAGTTCTCAACCCTGACTATATGGGAGCTGAATCAGTCACTGGAGAATATGCACTAAAATCGAATTTTAGACATACAACATCTTCTCACTTCTTGATGTTTAAGTTCTGCATGGTAGAAGAAAGCTGAAGACATCTTTTGCAGTCAGCAAGCTTGGTAGTGAAGTTGGAGGAAATCCCCAAAAAGAATGTAATGGGAAGGGTGACTGGAAACAGAAGAGTGAAAGAAGTGGGTAGGAGATGCTGGAAGTCCCCTCAATCAAAAAGAGTTAGTACAGAACGTATTGAAAGAAAAGAATAAGGCAAAAGAAAAAAAAAAAAAGCATGGACTTCTAGTAATAAGGGGAAATTGTTGTCAGTTTTCTGTGTACTTCTGAGCTTATTTGTGTTCTTCACATGATGAATCTGCTCCATTCAGCTTGTTAAAGTTAAGAATTTGGGGGATTTTTCTTTATTTTCCTAGAAAATGAAATTGTATTGGAGATTTCAGAACAGTTCTGAAGTTGTTAAAATGGTTTTCAAAGTAGGAAAACAGTTAGACTTTGTTTTTAAAAGGATCATAGGAAAAAAACGACCCTTTTGAATGGTCCTTGCTTCAAGCACTTCTTAAAACTGTAAAGAGCTAGATGGACCCTTGAACTAAGAAAGAAAAAGCAGATTTGAAAGGTGGGAAGATTCTTGTTCTCCACCTCTCAAGTGGATGGACCCTATTTCAGGGTCCTTAGAGCCACTGTACTAGGGAGCCTGTTTTTGGAGGGAAGTATGAGATCTGGAAGAACAGGGCAGGCAAATCAACCTCTTGGAGAAGAAATCTCAGTAGTGAAGGGAGAGCAATTGACATCATCATTGCATTTGGAAAACGCCAACAAGTGTGGAGTCTATTGTGTACAAACTTCCAGGATTATGGTAAAAATGTGTTTGTTGCCCCTCATCTGACATCTCGCATCCCAAAGGCTAAAAATGTCTCTAATCCCTGAAGAATGATTTGCAATATCAGCTCATTGTCTCTTCTTTTCTTCTAGCCCTGGAACTGAATTCCAAAATGCTGTGTATCAACCTGCTGAAGTAGCAACTGAAAGAGGTGAGTAAGGATAGATCACTTTTTGTTTATATGCTTCTAAAGCAACTTTCCGTGAATGAAGAAGATTATTTTTGAAAATACCTTCTCTCATAACTGCCTTATGCTTGCTTTGTTAAAAAAAGATATTCAGGCCCCATATAACATTGTAAAATAAAGCGCAAAACATTAGTGCTAATGAGAGCTAGTAAAATCCTTGCTTTGGATCACAGAGCATATTCTGTGTTGCTGATTATACTTTCATAGGGCTAGCTATCAGCACATCTTGCCAAAACCTGTGTCATTAAGTAGCAGATGCAGTGCTAGAAATAAAAGAGTAATTAAGGTTACAGTTGCTGATTATACTTTCATAGGGCTAGCTATCAGCACATCTTGCCAAAACCTGTGTCATTAAGTAGCAGATGCAGTGCTAGAAATAAAAGAAAGAGTAATTAAGGTTACGTAAGGGTGAGAAATGCAGTCTCTGTGCAGCAGCTGCTAATTGTTGCAGTCATATTGGACGGTGGTGTGATGGATGGCTGTGCAGCCATTTCTGCCTTAGGTTATCCTTTGGAGAGGATTTGTTCGATGGATTTGAGTGTGCTATATCATATCTTTAGATTTGCTGCATGAGAGGTTCTGAAGTGGATAAGGTCACTATGGAAGAACTAAGGTTTTTTTACGTATCTTCCTAATGTACTGTAAGATTCTGATCTTTCATCAGCGAAGATAACCCTAGTAGTACTCAAGAATTCTGAGCGTAAGCAAGGAAAATTGATTTACCAGACATCTTGAGAACAGGAGAAAATGATGGTGATGACACATATTGCTGCAGGATGCTGCAGTGTAAGTTCTCGTGGACTCTTCCAAATCCCAAACACAGAGTATTTCTTTGATATCCCTAATGTTAAAAGATTAAGAATAAGATAGAAACTGGTGGCTTGCAGCGCTACTGTATAGTTAGCACTCAGCATAACCTACAGCGTCCTCAGGCCAATATGCAAAATCAGAGGTTTTAGTCTTATGCCTTTAGGCCTTGTATCAGAACAGGAGCTGACAAAGTCATTTTTTCCAAGTCTGACTCAATGTCTTCATTTGGAAAGTCTGCCTCATTCATATTCTGCGTGAAAGCAGGGTTACATCACATACTATCCCAGTGTCCTTTTTTGTCAGTTCAGTAATATAAAGTACCAGCATTGGTATGTTTAGCTGAGGATGAGGTTCTGCAAAGTAGAGGCCTGTGGGGCAGGTTTTCTTCTGCAGCTTGCTGCATGTGTCACACCATTTCCTACAATCTGCACAATTACATTTTTCTGGAAAGAAGGTACTAAAAGAAAATATCTAAATCTGCATTTAAATTTACAATTCCATAAGATATCAAAGCTCTTTTTTAGCTGTAGCTACTTCTTGCTGAAGTCTAAGCTCTCCTGCATTTAAATTTACAATTCCATAAGATATATCAAAGGTCTTTATTAGCTGTAGCTACTTCTTGCTGAACTTAAGTCTAAGCTCTGTGATCTCTGAAATCAGTCTGCTTATGACCCCCTTCCCTGCCTGGAGCCTGGCTACCTCCCCCGTCTCGCTGGGGACAGGTTTTTCTGTTGGAGCTGCAGCTTTAACCATTTCTACTGAGGCTCATTGTAGCAGGGAGTGGGTTTTTCCTGAATCCTGGTGTTTTCCATTCTGTAGAGTACACTCTGCAGCTAGAGTGGATCAGAAAAGTGTAGTGCTTGGCTGCTAGATGTGTAGCCAAAAGAAAATAAATTTGCTAGTAATAGTGCCTAAAATCTGTTAATTGAAGAGAATAAATGGATAATGAAGAATCCTGGAAGGTAAGCAATTGCTGAAGCTTGTTAATGTGTAGGAAATAACAGGTGATGTAACATAAAGAGTAGTACTGAGGGAAGAGCCTTATCAGCAGAGTTCATTTTAGAAGCTTTATACCTTTAGCCACTCACAGAAATGAGAATAAATTTGCATAGAGCACAAAAACTGCACTAGACTTTTGCACTTGCACTTAGCGATTCAGTCGTACCTGAAGTCTGCTTATTATGGTTCAATCGTGGTGACCAAATACTTAGTATTTCTAAGTCACGAAGCACATTGCAGATCTGTAGAGGAACAGTTGTTTAGCAAAAAGAAATACCTAGATAATGCAGGTCTAAAAAAAATGTTTTATTCTGTTCTTAACATATGGGTGATCATCAGATAAAAGGCTTTTTAATTAGAAATGTCAGAGGTTGTACTACTTTTATCTATTTAAAAATTAAGAGAAAACAAATAACAGCATAACCTGTTGTTATGCAACATCATTCAAGAAAGTAAAAAGTAGGCAAAAATGATTGCTACAAAAAATGTGACTAAGCATGCTGTGTGTGAGGCCTGACCTGAGCTGCTTTAGCTGACTCTTGCAAAACACAAATATAACTGTGAAATTGATTATTTAGTGCACATCTGGGTAACACTTACACAACAATTGGTGCTGAAAATTCATTTTGCTAATGAGTTTTATGTCACTTGATGTAGTTGTTTCTGTGTTATAATATCCCCTTGCTTTACAACATCCTGGATGTACCAAAGTAATGCTGATAAATCAAATTATCCAATGGTTAATCCAATGGCTTCTCCTTGTGAACCCTGCCTCTCCTTTATGGCTTACATTATCACAGGACTTCTAATCTAAGCTCTCACATTTTTTTATAGGGGAATAAGATCAGGGAAATATTGCTGTCTTAAATTTGTATAGCCCACAGGTAAGGAAAATAAGCATGAGATAAAGCAGGATCTAAAACACACAACCACTGCTGCTAATTATTTCTGTCTAAATAGCAGAAGATGGGGATGGCTTAATGGAGAGATCACAAGATCTCTCAAGTGGGGACAGATGCTTAATTTTTGTTAAATGCATTGAAGACTTTAAGGTAAAAAAACTTTCGAAAATGTTTAACAGCTTTTTTTTTTCTTTTTTTTCTTTTTTTTCCCCCTTTTTTATTTCAGGTAAGAAGAGAAGGGAGGATACCATCCAAGTAAAATCATCTCGCCATACGTATAAAAGAGAGAATAGGGGATTTTTATAGTTTCTTATTTTAAAGCAGTATTACAGAATGGACTACCAGGTCTCTTGTACTGACTGGGTAAGTGTTTGGCACAAACCACAGCCAACCAAATAACTATCAGAATGTAATTTCAGTGTGTGCTATTAAGTGTGAATAAGTATCCTTGAGGGCAGCTCAAAATTCATTTTTGCTAGTATTAATAAGAGCTTACGGAGTATAATAACAGAAACAACACCAGGAGAAGTGTCCTAAACTAAGGAAGTTTGTGAGGAGTCAGTGCTGGAAATGCAGTGCTTTCCTTTTGTCCCTGTGCCCCTTGAGTGTTTGGCTGGAGAGTTTTGCCAAAACAATTAGGACAGTAACATGCAGTTACACAGAACTCTTTACTAGCCCAGCAAAAAGTTTATCTTACGAGTTTTGCACTCAACTAAAGTGGCAGTTGACCTTAGGGCCTCTATAAAGCTCATATTGCTATGCTTACTCTGCCTAGTAGCCCTGTGCTGTCTCAGCTTCCAAACTAAACCATTGCAGCCAGAGAAAATTACTAAAATGCGCAAGGGAAAAAAAAAAAAAGTAAAATCAACCCTTTCTGTAAAGCCTGACTATAAATGTCTTGCAGTGGAAGTAGCAGAGGATCTCACGTAGGGCCAGTGTATTAGTGCAAGGTTGTACTGGTACATAAGCCAGAGCAACTGGGAGGCCAATAGCGAATATTGACCTTACCAAAGCTCAAGTGAGTCCAGCATTAGAGCTTCTCTTCTGTTACCACCACTGCCAGTCCTGCAGGTGGCCTTTTCACATCATGACCTTACTGAATTCAGAAAGAGAAAGTAGGGCTACTTCTGTGTGCTGTATAATTGCAGTATTCCTATCACAAGGTGTGCTAGAGGTGCAAAAGTGTTGTAGTAAAGCTGAGGGGTGACTTCATTGCTCTCTATAGCTTCCTGAGGAGAAGTGGAGAGGGAGGTGCTGATCTCTTCTCCCTGGTACCCAGTGGTAGGACACATGGGAATGGTTCAAAGCTGGGCCAGGGGAGGTTTAGACTGGACATTAGGAAGCATTTCTTTACTGAGAGGGTGTTCAAACACTGGAAGAGGCTTCTTAGAGAGGTGGTCAATTCCCTAAGCCTGTCAGTCTTTAAGATGCATTTGGACAATGCCCTTAACAATATGCTTTAACTTGGTCAGCCCTGAACTGGTCAGGCAGTTGGACTAGATGGTTGTTGTAGGTCCTTTCTAACTGAAATGTAACGTTCCATCCTGTTCTATTCTATTCTAGTCTGGATAAGGAAACAACTGTGGCTACACAACTCTGTAGGTGACATTGTCACATCAGTGACAAGCAGGAAGAAAGGAAGGGCACCTGGCCCAGACAGAAAGACAATCAAGACCCTCACTAAATAACCTAGGCCCACTAGCTTTCCCGGCCCACTAGCGTGATGCAGGAAGCAGAATTCCAGAATCTTAGTGCAGTTTGGATGCAAAATATTGAAAATTTCCCAGGCAACAATCTGGTCAAGACCTTTATCAAAGCAAATAGGCAGAAGCTGATATTTTGCAAGCTTTCATTGACCTGATAAAAAGATTGGATGGGGTAAGTTGCTGTAGTCTTCGCAGTCTCACAGAAAGTCATTATCTGTTTAAGAAAATTACATTGTATTACAGAACTGCTTCATATGAGTACAAAATGAAGTTAAATAGAATTATACTTTCCATAGGACAACTCAAAGAATACATCTTCTAACTAGTCTTGTTTATGCTGTTCAGTAAAATAATGTATATGATTACTGGGATCTTAAAATGAGCATTTGGATTTTGAAATTCAGGGGTGTCACTTTATTTTCTCCAGATAGTCTAGTACGTCTAAAAAGGCTAAATGGACAGGTAGGAATTCTTGATTATAGCTACACATATGTTATCCACTCCAATTTCTGATTTATAGCTGCTGGAACAGAAATTTATTTTTCTTCAGACAGCTTTTGATTTGGCTGTCAGATGAAAAATTTGGGCTGCTTGAGGGAACAACAAAAAAGAGTGTCTGTTGCCCCTCTGAGCTGAACTCCATCTTTGAGAGCTGCTTATTTTTGGAATATGTGTCGGGGATAGTGAATTTCTCAGTAGAGAAATGGACTCAGAAAAAAAAAGGCCATCACTGACGGGCACTTTCAAGAAAATAGCAGTCTGGCATCAGGCTCTCTGCCAGGTGCATTAAGGTTTTGTTCTGCTTTTGTCAATGCAGGGTAAGTCTTTGGAAGCTGGACAGAAGGTCTGTGGACTGGAGGAGCTTTGCCATGGAGACAGCAGCTTTCCCTGCTCTGTAGGACACTGTGATGAGTTGATGGGTGGCAGTCTTCTGACTGACCACGAAGGCACTACTAACTGCAGTCCTGCTGTGACAGACCAGAGGCACTGTGCATTTGAAGGAAGGACAAGCACCCGTTATCTGTGTGGTGAGACTGAACACTGCTTGCAACAACAGTACCTGATCTTCAAGATCTCAGCCACAGGTAACCCTGCAAACAGGTCACCATTTTGAGGGAGGATGCAAGATTCTCTGGTGAACGTGGGTGGGGGTGTTTTGAGAGTTTTGTGACCTATCCTCCCCCCCCCCCAGTTTGATCTTCAAGATCTCAGCCACAGGTAACCCTGCAAACAGGTCACCATTTTGAGGGAGGATGCAAGATTCTCTGGTGAACGTGGGTGGGGGTGTTTTGAGAGTTTTGTGATCTATCCTCCCCCCCCCCAGTTAAGGACAGCAGAACAGCACACACTCTTATTTTTAATACGGTAATCGGAAGTGTGAATTATTGATTTAAAGTGGTAGTGAATGTACATGTGTGCCAAGATTATACTATGTAAGGCGGACCCAGGATGTTCATTTTACGTGGGTGGTTGTCTGCAGCAAAAGGGCAGTATCAGGTGATTCAATAACATCAGTGTTTTGAACTGTTGCAGCCAAAATTTTGTCTGTCTGAGACCTAGGTCTCATAAAAAATTACTTTTTGTATCCTGAACTGCATTTCTTTATAACAGTGTAAGTCACAAGAAAGTAATTTTATACCTTACACTTTTTTCCCCCCGTACTTACAGCTAAAACCAGCTTAAGTTTTGCATAGCTCTGTAGCTCAGAGAATGAGATTAAAATCCTCCTAGTAATTCTAATATTAGTGGGTTTAGACATACAGTATTTTGCTTCATTCTTGTCAATGTGAAAAGATGCACACTGTTGTTCAACCAGGAGAAAAAGTTATGGTCCCTAGCTTCAGGCACTTAGTGTCTTTGGGCCTCTTCCCTCCTGAAGCAAAGAGGAATTCTACAGTTGTCTGTAAAAGATGCAGGACTAGATTCTAAATCATCCTACAAAGCATTAATGTTCTATTAAAGAAATGCACTTTTACTAAAGAGCCGAAGAAAAAGCTGCCAGTCTAACTTATTCCATATAACCAAGAGGGTGATTAAATGTTCCAAATATGCAGAAGTCAAATGTCCCATTTCTGCTTTAAATCTTTTCCTTTTATAGGCTGTGGGTTATACTCCCTGCTTTGAAAACCTGTGCTGTTTAGGAACAAGAATTTATTTACAGTTTTAAAAACTTGCAACTAATCTTGGATGAATAGTCTAAATTAACCTTTGGCAGAGAAGTTGTCATTTCTAAGCCAACACATAGCTGCATTTTGCATTAGTTCAGGAATATTGGGTACTTTGAGGGGTTAAGAATGAAATATTTTCCATGATTCATATCTCTTTTAGTTTGAAAAGTCAACAACTCTATTCCAATGTAGCCAAAAGGGGTTTTCAGTCCAAAATGTCTCGTTGCTTGCAATTAATTTGGGTTCTTGCAGTTAGGGTTTTGTATCACAATGCATTAATGCATGAAAGCAGCTGCACAATGAGTAGTGCCACATGTTTGAGCTAAAAATAATCTGTGTATATTGTTACTGCACAAACAGTTGTACATTTGGTCACTGAAGATAATCTCTTTGTTAGAGCAGCAGAGACACATATGGCAGAATCAGATACATGTTGTAGAACTGTGAGGGGATGTTTGTGTGTGCCTGCTTGTGCCACTTCACCACACCCCATCCTTGTCTCTCTCGGCAGCGCTGTTGAGTCCTATTATTTAAACCCATGAAAAAGTCCAACAAAACTTTTAATGGTAAATATGCTTAGGCAAATGGAAACAACTTTTATTTTCCCCTGGAATTAAGATTTGGGAACTTGGACAACTGACATGGTGCTCTAGGGAGGAGGGAAAAAAGCTATGCTAGTTTAGAATTAATTTTGTCTTGCCAACATATCTATGGGAGAGGGGAAAAAAAAACCCCTGAAAATAGTGTGCTTTCCAATTTACTAAGCTCAGTCCTTCTTCCACTTACAGGTCAGTGTTTTGTGGACCCACTGAAGAATCTGTGCCTTTCAAGAAACTCCAGAAAATTAATTCTGACCCCCATCCTGCTAAGGTACGTAGAGTGGCTTGCCAACAGACAACTCCTTCATCCAAATCTACAGTAACCTTTGGGTCTCAAAAGCACTTGTTTCTACTTCCAGCTTTGCAGCTTAATCTCTGCTCTCCATTCCAAAGTAAATTACTCAGAGGAAGAGTTAAATATTATGTCTAAGTTTTTCTTTTGTTCCTTATGTGAAACCAGTTCTGGGGCCTACATCTCCTACTACGCCTATCAGTGGTTCTCCAGTGCAGTACTGCACCACGCTAGAGCCTGGGTCTGTAAAAGTGCTGGAGACTGCTGTAGTGCAGCAAAATGGAGGAGATAATATCAATTAGCATAAGACAGCAGGACTGCCAACTATCACCACTCAATAGGTGCTAACTTCTTAGGCAAGTTATATGTCTTCATTTTCCAAGTTTCGGTACTGTGCAAGGTGCTTAACTGTCACTAGCCATAACTGACAGGTTTTGATTGCTGCCCCTTGCTGCCTTTCAGCTGGGCTGAGTGTCTTCAGTCAACCAGCTTGGATTATAAATGACCAGTGGAAACGATGAAGCTCCATTCTTGCAAGTAAGTCTCGATCTCATCTGACAAGATACCATTGTTGATTAGCAAGTGAAACCTGTAGTCTGTGCCCTGTCTGAACAGAATGGGAATATGGTTGAAAAAATACACCCAGTCATACTACTAGCAGATAATTTATAATCAAAGCATATTATAATTATGGTTTATAAATGAGGTGCTTATAACCATTTACCTGTCAATAGGTAAATGTCTAATGTTTTTAATAGTTGCCTTCTCTTCTGCCTGTTAAATTGTATATATTAATGATAATATATTATCATGCTGATATATGTTGGTTGTCTGTCTTCCAATATGAAGCTGCAATTGCATACTGACAGTGGAAAAAGAGGCTGGGATCCTGCAGCTTGAGAGCACACAGAAAAGAGTCAGAGAAGTGTTTAGTTTCACATTAGGAAGAAGCCAAGAGAAGGGAGTTATTAGCTATACAGAGCTAATTTGATTTGTGATTAAAGAAACTGGCTGCTGTTGCATCTCTTTCTGAGAAAGTGGGAAATGAAAAGGCATGTATTCTCTCCAATTAAAATTACAGCTAAACTTGCTTATTAACTACTTCTAAATGTGAAGAACTTGACTACTGAATAATTACTTGAGCCAGAAAGAGTGGTGGTAATTTGAGTACTTCTTTTTCTTATTTTAAACGCAGGTCTCTGCTTTTAACTGCATGCCTTTGTTCCTTTTTTTTTTTTTTTTTTTTGAGAGAGAGAGAGAGACAATAGTAATATGTGCCCATGAAGGAACTTGCAATGTACAAGGACTTCTGCTCTGCATTGGCAGACAAGTAGATGTAGTTCTGGCATCTCATTTGTGCTCACTAGACCTATACTGACAGTAAACAATCAAAAAAAAAAAAAAAAAAGCTGTGTGCTAGCAAATTTTTTATTCCTACTTTTGCCAAGATGTGCTTGTTTATGCACTCTCTCTATGCCAGGATTTTCAGTTACAATGGCATTAACATGTACCCTCTTCTCCCTTCTTTTATAACTAGTAAGCTTATTTATTTTTCTTTCAATTACCTGTTTTAGAAATGCTGTTATCACTTTAAACAGCTTCTCTTTTCTAGAGTAATAGCTTAGTTATGTACATAACCCAAAAGTTTTGACTGCAAAAAGATGTTGTAATGTGGAGCTAGAGAAAAAGATATGCTAATTTCATATTATATTACAGATTTCACTGTTTCTGTCTCTCTTTACCATAGTAATTTGTTTTTACTAATTTTAATGTGCTGTTCTGCCCTAGAAATTTTAAGTTTCTGAATTCTGGATTTTTTTTTGGAGAGGCTTAAAGACCCCCTATAGCCAGCATCCCTGTACCTAAGATTTCATTCTTAAACTTCATTTTATAGCACGTGAATAAAGGAATTAAAATATTATTAAACACAGAAACAGGATCAAGAATCTTCAAGATATCTAGAACTGCACGTTATGTGCCCTCCAAGAAAATAAGTGGTAACTATTAACTATTCAGAACTTCTCTCTTGATTGGGGTAGAAATTTTGACAACTAACCTTAGGCTTCAAAGCCTTCCTTCAAACCCCTGTACACCATGGGGAGTACTGGGACAGTTTGGTGACTAAAATGGAATCCAAATGTTTAGGTTTCAAAACAGGTATCTAAATGCAGTCAGTTAATAAGTTACCATCATTATTTATTTGCATTTCATCTTGCCCTTGTCTTGGCTTAGGCTTCTCTTAATTTCACTCAGAATTCACAGCCTAGAAACGTCTCTTTGTAGGTTATTCTCAAACTTGTTTTTGAAGGAAGAATGGAAATCTGCTTTTTATTTAAAAGCCCTTCTCGACAAGGCTGCCTGTCCAGCAGGTGGGGGAATTACATCCTAAACCTGAAGAGAGACTGAACCAGAAAGATGTGGGCTGTCTTGGAGAGTGGGCACTCTGCCTCTTTTGTTTGGAAGCTGCGCCAGCCTGCAGGGTGGAAAAAAATGCATTGTTCAGTAAACCCAAGTGTGATCGTCAGAAGGTATGTACCAATTTACTAGCTTATTGGTTGTCATCTGCCTGAAATGGAGAATATCCCAAACTATGCCAGCGTTTTATATTAAATAGTAGCTAATATAATGTATTTAGTGTTGGGAGCAGGAACTGAAACCTAGAAGCTCACACCACTACCATTCCTGGATGGCAATTCATCACTCTGTTTCCATTGCTTACTGCTTCTCAGGCTTATGCATCTACCACTCACTGTTGCAAAGATACTCCATCGTAGTGGATTAAACAGAGAATATCCTCCCTCTCTGCTCATTTTTGCACAACAGTATCCATGGCCCAACCACAGACACCAAATCAAACTTTCAGGATCTTGGATTCAGGGAAAATTTGTGAATACCAAGCCACCTCACCCGTGGAAAAATCAGGAGGGATTAGTCAGTATATCAATGCTTTTGTCTGTGCTCAATTATGGAATATTTTTAGTCATCCTTTTAGCTTTGCTGGTAAAAAATAGAGGTGTCTGTTGACTCCTGGTTGCTTAAACACATTAGTTATTGGGTTTAAATCTCTACTGTTTTTACTGCCTTGGACTTTGATGTCTATGTGCTATCACCTAATTCGCTCTTTTTCTTCTTCCTTTCACCTATCCTTGGGAAACTCAGCCCTTAGGAAAATGAGATGCATCTGGGAACATTCAAAAGCCAAGATTCAGACAAAAACTTTGAAGGGGAGTGCTAAGAACTGAGGCATTTCAGGTTCCAGGATAAAGCAGAGTAATACAAGGCTTGGAAAAAGTTCAGTTTTGGATTCAGAAACTTAAATTCTTTTTCATGCTCTCATTACCTAAGTCTTGCTTTTTCCTTTTCTTTTAAACAAACAAAAGGGTTTTTTGAACAAGTATTTTTATATATACCCAAGTTCCTACTACTGCAATTATCTGTAAAATTAAACACGTTTAATAATACTTTAAAGAAACTTTTAAGAAATGAAAAATCCCTTCTTAGACATAGCATCAGTGACATAACCAAGGGCAGATTACAGAAAAATCTTAATATCTATCATTTCTGGTGCACAAACAAATTATATGTTGAGAGCTCTGTCTCAGTGCTGTCAGTCTTTGTAGATGTTTAAGGTCCCACAGAGAAGGCTATCTTGCAGAAGGAGAAAATAGATCTTACCCCTTAATTCCAGTATCCAGGACATCAGAGTAGTGGCTTCAGTGGTGGAAGTGCCGAATTTCCTTCCTCAGGTTTTCTTTATAAAAGACTGAGCTGACCTTGATTCTTTTCTTCGCTGGGGCTAGAGGGGGAACAAAACAGGAAAAAAACAAAACAGAAAACAAAACAAAACAAAAACACAAAAAAAACCCAAACAAAAAACAAACCCCCAAAACCTCTTTCCCCTTTAGGAAGAGTTCAGTGCATTATTTTCTGAGTGTGAGAATTTAACCATTGGCTACGTTGGGTATCTTACCTCCTCAACCGGATGATTTTTGAAGTTCCCATTTTAACCAGCTTGCTGGCTTGGATGAGCAGGATCTCAGTAAGAGCTGAAGTATTTATTAGGTAGCAGAATATAGGAAATACAGCATGGCTGTCTAAATCCTTTTCTCTTTTTAACCTCAAGTATTTAGTCCCTGAAAATTGAGGAGTACAGGGAACTGGGAGTATCTAATTTTGAACTTTGTAAATATTAATGTGTTGCATATAGGTATATAGCCTATATTGAAAAGAAAGAAGCTGCTTTTCTTGCATGGAGCAAGAAGTGTTTTTTTAATTTTTAATTGGTATTACATTTCAAAACAACAGGAAAACAGTTTTTCATATTGGTATGTTAATACTGGACCTCTTTTGAGTCCACATGCTGTAATGCTAATGACTTTGTATGTACTTGAGAATTCTCTAGGGATAGTTATCTTGCACAGTTGAGATAAAGCTGAAATGCATTCCCCGCGCAACTGGATGTGTTGTCCTTCTGTAGATGCACTCTGTAAAGTAGCATAAGCAAAAAGAATGAAGAAGATAGGAATGCTGGGGCAGAAGAAGTTGTGAAAAGGGGGCTCTGGGGTCTTAATTTGTTTAAGGTGTCAGAAACACTGAGGTGTCAGAAATAGTATGTGTCATTTGTTTCTCAAGATTAGGGTGGGTTTTTTCAGTTTTACAAATATCATCTAGTGCTCCTTGTAAAGACAACAATCATTCCTTTTGTTACTACCCATGAGAAAATCACAGTGATGCCTGTGACACGTGGGAGATAAGTAGTAGCCTATCAAACAAACAAACAAGCAAAGGAGATCTGAACTGCTAGATTCTTTTCACTTTCACAAAGCTGTAGCTTTTTAGTAAAAATTTGCATACTTTTTACACTAATTTGCACTGAAATTATGTTCCTGTAACCCAACTGCTGCATAAGGCATTTCTCTCCTATAAGAAAATGTAGATACCTAAATCCAGAATGGAGTCTGCAGCTTGGCTGCTACAGACTAGTACTTACTCCCTTGTGAAATGGGGTAATGTGGCTGGGAAAATATTAGCTAATTTAGAGCTTTCTGAAAAAGGAGCTGTGAGAAATCACAAGACAGAAATGGAGGTCGTTGGCCAAAACCCATCAGAAGAGAGGAGACTGGGTGATCAAAGAGGAGGTCCCAGGAAACTGTGAGGAGAGTCCTGCATCCTGTGCTGGACAAGGCTACTTCTGCAGTTCACTGCGAGCTCCTGATGAGTCAGAACAGGTAGTACTGGAACAAGAGAGATAAATAATGCAGCTATTAAAGTAAGCAGTTCTGCTGTATACTGGCAATATTAAAATATAATGCAAAGAATTAGAAATGGAAGACTGTTAAAACCAGTATGTCAGTGGCAGAACTACCTGCTTTTATCCCAGTTCAGGAGCTTGGGAGAGCAAAGAATGGAAAGCAGCGCACATAAGGAAATATTAAAATGGGTGGGCTTGAAAGGCACAGAACTATTAAATACTTTCTATGTTTTAAAAGCTTAATAAACATTGTGATCAACCTATGAATAGGAACTGAAGCTCCTATCTGCATTTAGACAAGGCATAATAAAAAAATGGACATGCAGTGTCTGAACCACCTAGAAATTCTTCTTGGGAATATGAATTTGACCTAGAAGTAGGATAGAACACGAACAAGGTCAGGCTAGGTAAAATAGGGCTTCATTTCAAAATGGCAAGTAACTGTTTATTCAGTAGAAGGAAGGCTATTTCTATTTCATTTGTGCAAGTGAAAGAAATTATTTGCAAACAACGGGTTTGCAGTAAACAAGTTTCTATTAGTTTATAGGAGCTCTTCACAGAAGACAGTTTTATATTTGGGGGGTTTTTTTGCTGGTTTTTTTTTTTTTTGCTTTTTGTTTTTTTAGCTGTGAATCCCAAAGGAATCTAAATATAGACAGTGTGGATCTGAATCAAAAAATTTATTCCTATCAGTTTGTTGAATTGACAAGCTGCAAACAATTTAAAAAAAGGCAATTTAAATCTGTTAAATGTAAGCTTGTCAATCTAGTGAAACCTGGTCCATGAAAAAGGGATGAAAACAAGCCTGGAGTTGCACTAGAAACAGTGATGCATCTTTAGATGGGGAATAACAGAATACTCTAAGGCTGATTAGAAAAAGTAACTGCAAATGCATTATAGTAGAACTAGAGTATTAATGGGTTGTTCACTTGAATGCTTTGCACAAAAAGCAGTAGTGGCTATCTCCTGAGATACCTTATTGCCTGACCATGCAGCCCTGCAATCCCTTCCTGGGGGCTGGCAGCCTGTGCAGCTCTTTTCCTTCCTCATGTTCTCTACAGATTGCACTTCTGAACTCCGGGCTGCTGGGTTCAAACGCTGCGTCACAGGGGTAGCAGGATAAAGGATCTGTTTGTTCCTTTTTGTATTTGGAAAGGCAGAATGAAGAAAATAGATTTATTTAAAAGGCAAAAATAAACGACCCTTTCCCAGACAAGGCAAAGTAAGGATAGCAAATTGGAGCCAACAGTAGGAGCTGGAAAAGAATCTTTTCCCTGTTTGGCTAGCCTTCTCACACATGAGTGCTTTCTGTAAAGAAATATTGCTGGATTTCTCCCATTTTTTCCATTTCTAGAGAATCTGATTTAGATAGGGGTTCTACTCTGTGTATTATAATTGCAGGACTCAAGTGCATTTGTAGCTTATGATTCAGGGTGTTCCAGTGCTATAAAGGTACTGATGGAGAAAACACTACCCAAATCGTTTCCTATATATGGAAGACTTATAATGAGCTTTCTTATCAAATTCAGCCTCAGTAATGGGCCACACAAGAATCTCTGTGATTATTTGCAATAGAAACTAGACTAGCCCATTTAAAAAAAAAAAAAAAAGCAGCATTATTTTGAGGCAACCATTGCTTGTGCTTGAGCAGTAGTAGGTTAAATCACCTACTGTTTCAGCTTTATATTATTTCAGCTTTTTTGTTTGATCTCTGACCAGAAGAACAGGGGATAACCTACTGTCCGCAGAAATTATCTGAGTGTCACTAGTGCCATATAGCCTACAGAAATCTGCGGACCACTCCAACAGTAAGAAATAGCATTTTTCAAACTTTTACTGGGGTTTTAGCAAGAGGGGGAGGTGGGGCAGGGGGCGCAGGGGACAAGTACTTAAACATCAGCTTTCCAAAAAATGCTTCGTCAGTGTTGGATTGTCATCGCCCCACCACCACCACCAATATGTTAACCTTCTGTCTTATTTTTTTTGCTACTCTTCACTTATATTATTTCTTTCAGCCATGGACTAGCTGAGAAGTGTGTTAATGTGAATATTTACTTATGGCACTAAATATTTGGTAGTGTGCCAGCATTTTTTACCATACTAGCTGTAGAGATGAACAAGGTATATCCAGAGTAACCCCTCTCATTTTTGAAAGGTAACTAGGAAGACCTGTTACCATGTTACAGAGGAGAGGGCCTGTGGCTGGTTTTTCAAACAAAATTATTCTTTTCTGTTTCAATAGTATGTAATAAAAAAAAACAAAAAACAGGAAAGTCA